AATTTCTTGAAGTTTAATATCTCAACAACATTTTTGTTCGGTGCACATAAACGATGGCACTTAGCACAAGTTTTAACAATTTCCCTTGACATCTATGACAGTGCCAAACTTTCTTAATGTTAGCTAGGTATTTCCCTGTTAGCTAGACACTTACGACGATGAACATCAGCTAATCAATAGGCTCTTATTAGTTATCTTGGAATTATAGATCCCCCTCACCACCATCCGAACTCATCGTATCTCATCCCATATCAACCAGTATCTTTATGGCTTTAATAATGAGCTATTTTACTCACAACTCTGGATTGTCCCAAGGATCTAAAGCTCATATTTTCAAGGCCGGTCTAGACATAGTGATCATAATGATAGGTCGATTGAAAAAGTAACATTATTCAAGTAATTTAACATTATTTTCAGAGCAATGTCATTCAACCAATATATGGGGAACATATTACTTTAGCGGTGTGTTCCAACGTTGGTACCTCACACCACAGTCAAGTACTGAGTTTGACAGTAAAAAAACTATTGGCGATGGTGTGAATTCGTGGATGAGGTTTTCATTGTCCTGACAATCGTATAAATCAAATCACGTGAGTAATTTTCTCCTAAACGTACATTGGGTTAAGGCTTTCGTTTATTCGCAAGACAACCGTAGTTTCCGTGTGTGGAAATCCTCACAACCCTTGGCCTCGCTCCCGTGGAATATAGGACCACTGGCTGCCTGTTAACGGGGAGAGGTTTTCCGGCACCACCGAGGTATGGTATAAATCTCGGTTGTGTGACGGGATAGGAGAGGGATGGAAAAGTTTTGCGTGCTACCAAGAAAAGAATCCGGCGGGATAAAACCGATAACGGGGACGAGACAAACGTACAATATACAATACTATGGCGTTGTCGCCGGTACAGAAAACACTTTGTGTGGGTAGGGATGCGCACACTTCGAGTCTCTTTCCACCAGGCGTAGAAGGTCAAAGTTTTCCGGATCGTAAATGCGAATTAAAAGTTTCCGTTTTACTTTTTTCTAACCAGCCAGCCGTCACTGGTGGTTCTCTCGACATCCCTGCGGATGAGTATAATTCCCAGGTATGATCTTTTTTAATAGAGAAAACGCCGCCGAAAAGTTCCCACCGTGGCGCAGGGGTTTGCTCGCACGATTAATCTGTGAAATTATTAAACAGACTCGCCACCTGCAGCCGCACGAAACGTCCCTTTCCACGTACCTACACTCCTTGTATTACCGTTGTTATTATTATTATTATTATTATTATTATTATTATTACAAAGACTGCTGCAGTGCGCTGTGTACTATTATTGTACACACGAGCTTTTGCATATTATTATAGTGCACAACAAAAGCTATAAATCCCGCGCGAGCCGTGCACATCTCTTCACTCCCACTCTCGCTGTGCACTATCTGTTGGGATTTCAAAATTAAATTACATCCGTCTACAAGCCGCCACCACATCTTTAACCAACGACCCAACTCCTCGGTTAGGTAATTTACATTTAAAAAAAACCCCCCTCAGCACAACGGTAGGAAAGGGAGATAACGGGTCTATATGAATTATTACAAACGAAAGCGACTCGAATCAATTTTAAATAGAGTATACTGACACGAAAACGTCGGTGTTAGCTGTTTGGACACGAGTTTCGTTTAGAGTGAAAACGGTTGAAATAAAAAATACATTTTTAGATGATAGTCTGTTAAAATATTGATTACACGGCTCTATTCTTACTTGTAGAGATCAAAGAGCGGAAAATTTTGAAAGAAAAAAGTTCAGAGCCACAAAAGCGAGCGTGTCCGACGTTGCTTACACACAAGAACTTCTAAAGAAATCGCATTGGTAATGATTATATGGTATAGCTATGATGTGTTTGTCTATGCACAAAGGATCTTTTATATGGCTGCTATACGGTGCGAAGTAACCCCATAGTATTTTCGATTTCGTTTCTAAAGCTTATAATAATATAGGTTAGGTCGATTAAAAAAACAAAAAAAGGATTTGACATAATCTGGAGTATAATGTGGGACAAGCTAAGGCAGATGACGATCGTTAACTAATGGAACCCATAACTCAGGTTTATCCTACCCCAGGAACCCCATAAAAAGGATTTGCGGGCCGGGGACATTTAAAATAGGGGTTGATCCGGAGGGCGACTTTATTTGATTGTTTTTCCTTCTCCCACCCCCATCTGCGGTCTTGCAGGTTGTGTACGCGGGTCCATTTCCTTGCATACGTCACGTTTTTTGCAATGTATACATTATAATATTATTATTATTATGACGAGAAGAGAGTAGTAGAAAAAATAATAGTAATAATAATAATAACGATAACCTTCGACCTTTGCGTTTTGAATTTGATGGTAACAATTTACCAACAATCGGTTTCGAATGAGTACTTTAAAAGCTGCGTTATTCAAGTTATTCTTCGTTTAATAAGTTAATATTAAAAACATATACGTCACCGTTTAAGTATCAAAAGTCGATAGCGTTCTAAAAAAAAAAAAATTAAAAAAAAGGTAAATACCAGAAATGTTTCAGCGCCTGAAAAAAATAAATTGGCAACATAACATACGTTATACTCGTGTTGTATTCTTTTCCTGTTTATTCGTTAACGGCCTTTGCCAATACAGTTTTAAAAAATATAGTACCTACCTTTGTCAGTATATTTGTCAATGAAAGACATTTTCTGCAATTTTTCATTCAAGCTGTGTGGTATGACACCATAAAATATAAAACAAGTAAATCATTTCAATAGTATAAATTGTATTCAACAAATGATGTTTTTTCAAACAAATGTTTCCAATAACAAAACCAGACGAACCAAGACAAGACCATAAACGGTTTATAATTGCAAAAAAAAAAACCACCATAAATATATACATTTTAGTAATAATAAATGTTTTTCCAAGATATTCGGTTTTGATAACCGTATACCGTTTAGAGGCCTAGCAATTTTTTTTTTTTATATTTGTATAGATCATACACGTTTGTTTATTATTTTGTGAGTACTTGGTCTTTCCTTTTAATAATTTGAATTTAAGTTTTTATACTAAAATACGTTATAGATTGTGGGACGCTCTCATGTGTACACAAAAATATATTAAAATTAAAATTTCAACATGAATCACAGTAAGTACATATAATACACGAACAAGTGACAATACCTAGATTTTTCAAGAAAATAACCATTATAGGCGTTTTTGCATTAATGTTTGCTTGCATATCAAATGAAAATAATTATTGAAATAATATATTTTTTATAACCCCAAACACCTGTCATAGCTGTTGTACCCTTATAGTACTTATAATAGTTGGGGATAATTTGATAATTATTTCAACGTTGTAGGCACATACATTTGCTCGTTTGTCCAAAGCGTATATGGCAGTATACAGAGTGATGTTTTTATCAAGGGCCACTCCAAACCTTATAGGATTTTAATCTGAAACTTAAATGGTATAATACATAATATATTTCATTACATTTTTAAACTGAGAATAATGCCCCTAAAAAGTTATAGGCTCAAGTATAACACTTTTTAGTAAAATGCCAAACACCGCACTCCTTTCACCGTTCACGTTCAATATTATAGTTTTAATTTCTTGACTGTTTAGTCAACCTATTGATTTTAATATAAAGTTGAAAAGTAAATAGGTTTAATGGTGTAATACAAGCTAGTAAATAGTTAATAAAAAATGCTAAGCCAACCAGATAATTGAACGTTTGTTTTATCTTAAGATCTAATAATAATATTGTATTATTATGCCAAATCACCTGATGCGTGTGCTAGTGGATTTTCTAAACGTCTCAAACTTATATTATATCCTATGCAGATAGTTCCATTAAATCGAAAAAAAAAAATTAAAACACCTTTTTTTGTTTATTTGTAAATTTGTTGTAAAAACACTCAAGTTCACGACCAGGTTACTTAATAAGTAGTATTGTGATATCCAAATAGGACTTTCACTGTAATTTAAGTGTTCTAACAATTCTTTTTTCAAATTTTTTACAGCTAAAAATTGAAAAACAAATTCAAAATTTTATAAATTTCATTACCTACCTTTTTAAATTTCATATATTAGAACTTACTACGCAAAACATATTTTTATTCAAGTTCTTACAGATCCTAGTAAAAATCTACTAAAGTCTCCGTTACCAAACTTTTACCAGATGTTCTATATACATAATATATACATTATATGTAAGTCTTAATAAGTAAGCATTTTTTAGTAAAATGCCAAACTTTGAAGTTCTTTAATATTATACAGCATAAAAAAAAAATTGCCCAAATAAATGTTAATAGAACTATCTGCATAGAATATACAGGGTGATAATTTTATGGTGAACCACTCAATATCTCATAGGGTTTAATAAGAAATTACATTTTTTTTTCTTCATAATGTTAACTTTCACATGAATAACCCTAACAATATGTTTTCTTATCAAACCCTTAAATAATACAGTGCTACAATTTAACGAACCGAATGTTAAAATAATTAAGCTTTCATAATTGTTTGTCAAATTAAAAAAAAATGACTGTGCACATTTATAATTTACACTTTTCTTTTATCTGACAAAAAACAGAATAATATTATGTTAGTATTAAACACTCGTAAGCGGCCCAAACAATAAGACATAAATAAATAAGATGTTTAAGCACGTTTAGTTTGATTGACAAAACAATAATAAAAAAAAAAAATATATATATATATATATATATATATTCTATAATGATTACCAATTTAATATATAATATATATATATAAATATATTACGTGATACTATGATATATAATAACATGTAACATAATACACGTTCATCATAATATACATTCTAATGTGGTCTAGTCAGCAAAGTAATTTAACTAATAACATATTTGAATAGGTGAAGTAGATTAATGATGATAATTAATTCTAGACATTGGCATAAATGCAGCAATTGTAGTTATTTACAAAAAAAAAAAAAAAAACTAAATTTTGTAACCAACAAACAACATAATATTATGTAACAAAAATATAATAAATAATTTTGTTTTTTTAATTGTAATTTATTAAGGACTACGTTCGATACGAAACAAGACATCACCTACGAAATTTTGATTTTACTTTTCGTCTTTAGACGATTTACTGTCGTTATCTTTATTTTTATTCCAATTTTGGAGTCCTTTGGGCAACGTAGTGTCTTCGTCCATTGAACCCGTGCCTTCGACGAATTCTTCGTACGTTGATTTTTCTTCAAACGGCCTAGCCCCTAATAGTTCGATCATATCTTCTCTGTTCAAGACTTCCTGTGTCAACAATCTTTCGGCGACCTGAGAAAAAAAAAAGGCAAAATCAATAACTTTACACAAATAGTTACCACGACGTTACCTTTTCAATGTCGCTCTTGTGCTTCTTGACGAGTTCCATTGTTTGTTTATAGGCCGACGATATCAGCTCTTTAACCTCCGAATCGATTAGATGAGCGGTCGTTTCTGAATACGGTTTTTCAAATGTCATTTCTCCCGGCTGCGGCAAATCGAAACTCACGTTTCCTACTTTTTCGTTCATACCAAAGTGCGCTACCTAAGAACATAAAAACTCAATCAGTCGATGGCGTATATAAATGGCTGGACGGCCGTGACGACGATTAGTATTATTCATCTGTACATAATTTTTTTTTTTGTATATTTTGTTTTTCTTATATGTAATTACTTGTGCATATGCGCTCTCGGTGACTTTCTTCAAATCGTCTTGAGCCCCAGTCGTGATTTCATTGAAGAAAACTTGTTCAGATACTCTACCGCCTAGGGTCATACACATACGGTCAAACAATTGTCGTTTTGAGTACAAATATTGTTCCTTGGGCAAGTACTGGGCGTAACCTAAACCTTTGCCCCTCGGTATGATGGACACCTAAATATATGTGACGTATAAGAAATTCGTTAGCGCGTTGTCAATTTTCGTTTCCAAATAATTTTTTTTGTTCGTTTTACTTTTAACAGAGGGTCAGCAAATTTCAAAAACCAACCGCAAACGGCGTGGCCAGCTTCATGGTAAGCGACAATTTTCTTTTCATCCGCTTGCAATACTCTGCTCTTTTTTTCCATACCGGCAACCACTCGTTCGATAGCTTGTTCGAAATGATGCATTGTGATACTGTCGGACAAATCTCTTGCGGCTATTAAAGCGGCTTCGTTGCAAACATTAGCAATGTCAGCTCCTAAAATTAATATTCAAATGAAATTGGATTGGTTTTGATTCAATCACACAGCTCATTGTATGTGTACCAGTAAAGCCAGGCGTGCGAGCCGCTAATTTCCTCGAAGTGCTCAAAATGTCTAAATTGGTTTTCAACGGTTTTAAATGGACGTTAAAAATAGAAGCGCGTCCTTTTATGTCTGGCGCTGGCACATATATTTGCCTGTCGAAACGGCCGGGTCGCATAAGGGCCGAATCCAACACATCAACTCTGTTGGTCGCAGCCAATACAACCACATTAGTAGTGGTGTTAAATCCTGATTAGACAGCGGTACATTAAATATAATTCTATAATGGTAAGGAAATAAAATTGTGTAGCTATATAACATGTACATACCGTCCATTTCAACAAGAAGCTGATTTAATGTATTTTCTTGTTCAGAATGACCGCCTACATTACGACCGCCTCTTTTTTTACCGACCGCGTCGATTTCGTCAATGAATAATATACAAGGGGCGTTTTTACGAGCCATAGCAAACATATCTCTGACTCTGGATGGACCAACGCCGACAAACATTTCGAGGAATTCGGAACCAGATACCGATAAAAACGGAACGTCCGCTTCCCCGGCTGTTGCCTTGGCGAGGAGCGTTTTTCCAGTACCAGGAGGTCCTTAACATATAATAATCATAATTATTTGTAACTCTAAACACAAACACTTGTTTGTCATTCATACCCGTGAGCATCGCTCCTTTGGGAATTTTCGCCCCGAGGTCCAGATATTGTTGGGGATTCTTTAAGAAGTTTACAAACTCCATAATTTCGATTTTGGCTTCCTCGCAACCAGCAACGTCCCTAAAATCAATAACATATTTTAATGACAAACACATAAAAAGACGCAAATATATTTACTTGAAACGAACGTCAATGTCTTTAGGGTCAACAAGCTTAGCGGTCGATTCCATTACTCCTCCGAACAAACCGCCTCGCTTTCCACCACGGCCGGTCATCATTTCGGCTGAACGCCTCATCATGAACAACAAAAATCCAATAAACAGTAACGTCGGAAGGAATCCTGAAAAACTGCTGGCTTCTATTTCGGTCTTATAAACTACGGGTATGAAATTTGCCGGTTCTATGTTGAGTTCATCTTGTGCATTTTCCAAACTTCTTTCAAACGAATCCACACTACCAATGTTGAACCATAACGTTGCCTGTGAAATAACTACTATTACATTGTGTTCTCGCTACTAAAATACGCAAAGTAATAAAATAAAACTGTTCTTACGTTTCCATCGACTGACGATCCTGGTTGAAGGTGAACACGAACCCATTTCTTATTGACGACTTCTAATTTATCAACCACGTGACGATTTAAATAGCTAAGGAAAGATAATTGGTTTTTTTGTTATTTAATCCTTGCCTATTTTAGTACAAACATCATAATTATTACACGCAGTCAAATAATTTTTTGTAATAATATTTTTTAAATAAAAAGAAATAAACAAGTATGTACCTTTTGGTGTCCATCTAAACGAAAAATTTAATATAAAATTGAAAAGAATTAATTTCTTAAGATGAAAACTCTCATAAATTATTTTTTTGTTTATCTTTTAGGTAAAAAATTAATAATGTTATTAGAAATAAAATGTGAAAAATATACCACATTTATTTGATTTTGAGAGAAGTTATACTTTTTTTAGTTGGGTTATTTTTGTCAAACAGTAATGTAATAATATGCCCAAATGTAAAGAGGTTGATGAATGTTATTTGGCAAAAAACATTTAAATTAGATTAAATTTTAGTTTTAGCACAGATTAGATAAAAATACATAGTTTTATCTAATCTGTGGTTTTACTAAAATAGATCTATTATATTTACTTACTTATTAACAAATTCTTTCCACGTGATTTCTTTGTAGCTCATGTTATAAAATGCAAATAGACTTATTAAGCCGATCGCACCGGCAACACTATAGAGAATCCATTTTTCTTTATCAGAATCCCCTGATGAACCGCTAGATCTTTGGATAAAAAAATAACAATCTTTAATAAATTCATCCAAAATACAAAAGAAAATATAATAACATTATTTTTATTTATTGTATACTATAATATAGAGTATGAAGGGAATAGAATCCCTTTACAATATTTTTTTTTATAAAGTTTAACGTTTTAGATATATATTTTAACCGTTTTCAAATTAAATTGTTTGGTTAGAAAAAAATGTACGGTTTTGCCAGAGCACAATAATATTTTCTTGCTTTAGACTATATTACAATACAATTAAAGTTATATTTTATCAGATATATTGTATAATATTTACATGTAAAAGGAATGATGCCAAATAGCAATATTGCACAATGTTGCAACACATAAGAAAATATGTTATAGATTTGTTTGCATCGATTCGATTAAATTATAAATAAAAAAAAATACTGTCGTACACACGGTGGATAACAATTTATACGGTATATAAAATGTTAAAATAGTATTTACCACATGTTTAATAGGTACGATTAACGATAAACGATGGAAATATTACACTTACCCTTGTGACATACGATTTAGCCTTTTTCTAATCTCACTGTCAATTGAAGGGTTCGATTTTTTAGGCTTATCATCGTCTTTTTTTTTATTATTCTTGTCAAAATATTTTTCAAAACCTGTGGGAGGTTTTTCACTGAAATTTGTCCATTGCCTCAGCGCGGAGCTCAGGCTCGGTAGTACTTGACGTCGGCTCAGAAGACTCAAATGGCGTTGTAACTACAAAACGGAGGTAAATATGAAAACAAAATAACATTTAACCATGTGTGGAAAAATTGTTTCAGGTCCATAAATCATAATATCAGGCACAAAACATACTGTAAAATTGTCCAAACGACCAGTCCGAATGCCGTTCATCAACAGCCTTTCGACTTTCTTCGTTATAGTTAAAAATCTCTGAGACATCTCTTGGTCGATTTTTAATAATTAATATAGAATTAAAATTTTCGTTTTAAAACCAAATTTGAATTAAAACAATTTCATTACACATTTTTTTTTTTAAGAAAATGGATGTTATCAATCGAACTGGCGATGTTTGGCTCGACTGCTGAACCGGTGATAACGTACAGTAGGGCCAACACAATAGTTTCCTTAACTCGGTCCGTCCTAGAAGCGAACATACTGATAAGTGATAACCGCGTTATGTTTGAAAATTGTAAGTATATTATTATTAATTTTTTCATTATTGTTATACAGCATGCTAAGCGTTATATTATTCACTTTTAACGTAATAATAATATCTAATAAGGTATACTTTATATGTGGAGAGCGTTAGTTTAATATCGCAAAGATTTTGATTGTTGGAAGAGAGAAGATCAGAATAGCCCACTTAACGTGTATTGGGTAAGAGTTTAAATGAAAAATAAACAGATAGATCTTATAACAATAAATATACAAAATTATTAAATGATTTTATGGTGTATCTAATTTTAAGTAAATAGAAATGTTTTACCGGTAGGTTGTATGCCTACATATTGTTATGTATAACCGAATGTTTATACACATTATTGTGTTATTGGCACGTTTTCCCGTTTATTTTTATGTGATACTTTTTATAAATTATAAAGTAAAATATTGATAAATTGTATTAAAATGATTTACTTTAGCTATACCTACACAAATAAGTTATTTGTTACAATTACACAATATTGTGTATATAAAAATAATGTATTCAATTTTACCTAAATATTATACTATTGTTCATACCTTCTCTGAGCATTTATCTATCATAAATAAATTATGTTTAAATATTTAATTAGATGTATTCAAACATTATGATTTCCCTTGTATAATTTTAATGTGGACTCAAAATTTATAACCAAAGATATATTAGGTTATTTATGTCAAATGACAATACAACATACCTATGAAGTTACTACCTTGGAGCATTTATTTCTAACATAACTCATAAATGTATTTGCGATGACTACTACGATGTACAAAACGGTTTACACTGTGTTCATAAGTGTATACTGTATACATATTTTCTTAGTTCTGGTTAGTTGTGACATTGTTTAAAGAAAATATGATGTAATAAAACAAGATGAAACGATTTATGCGTATACCTCGTGCTAAATGCTTTGCAAATATTTTAAACAAATTGTATTTATTCGTCTTGTAGCTAGTATCAAAACTATATTATATTATATCAATAAGAAACGAATTGAACGTTGTAATGTAGTGGTCTGCAACTGGTGTATTTATCATTTTGCTGGATAGTGCCTACAATGAATTCTAAACTGTTGTTTTTAAGTATTTCCATACTGCTCTTCGGGGCATTTTACCCGGGACAAGTCAATCCGGGAGGCTCGAACAAAGTCGTGACAAAGAAGGTATGTGATCTTCTGGCCAACTCTGGATGGCAGTTGATGAAAGGTCTTGTTGTCTTGGAGCGCGGCAAATTATATGTGTTCGGCAGTTTCCTTGCTCATGTCTCCAAAGGCATTTCCGACAAGGAGGTGATCGACACGATTCATCAGCTCACTTTGTTCCTGGTGTGCAAATATGGCAATTTGATACGGCAATTCATAGCTCTTTCGAAAACAATGATTGACAAATGCACAGAAGAACGGAAAAAGAACAATATCGCAGAATTTAGCCAATGCGTCCAGTTGGTGATACAAAAAATCGGCGAGTCCTACCCGATGGTGGTACGCATGTCAAGCGCTATGGTCACTTTGTCCAGCCAACTCCGGAAGCATCCGATATTCAGTGTATTGCAATCAATGCAAGTATACTCGGCTTACTTGAGAAAAGCCAAAATGAAATTTACAAACCGTAAGGGTGTCGTCTACACTGACAAACTGAAATGGCAACTCGATAAAATCGACAAAAGACTTTCCGTTGACGATGGCCGTTTGAAGAACTTCATGGAAAAAAAATGTTTTATAAAAAAAACCAACGGTGAATTGTCAAGGCTGAGCGAGACCGCTGAAGCGAACGATGTTGAACTGCCGGAATTGAATGAAAATACCAAAGTCAATCTGATGATCATGTTCGCTCAAACAATTGATACTCTAGTCAGGCTAGCCATCGCCGCGTTTTACAAGGATCTTGGGTTTGAATATGACGAAAACAAGAAAATAAGTAAGTTGAAGTAATCTTACAAGAATCGAAGATACTGACTTATAATCAAGAGCATTACTCAAGCTTATAATTCCTTATGTATCAAGTTTCATTAGTTATTAAAAATTAATTATCAATTGATTTCATTAAAGTATACCTGTGTCATATATAAATATCAAATGTATTTATCAAACGTATTTTAATGTAATAAATACATATAATTCACTTGTATGCACATTGCAATTGATACAATTATTTAAGGATACTTTTTGCATTAAAGATCTTTCCATTAATTTTTTTTCTTTTAATTTTAATTATTACACCTGTGTAATGATTTTTAGAATATAAATGCAATTATTATAATGTAAACATTTTGTTTTTAGCAAAACAAATGACGGACAAAACAAATGATATCAGATCGGATATGTAGATTAAAATTATTTGGGTTTGTTGAAAGTAGGGAAAAAAATGATCAGTGAAACGGATAAGATAAATTAGTAAAGAGGTATTTTAGTGGTAGAAGTAACCAAAGATAAATCTGGCGAATGTGATAAATCAACACATTTCGAAGGAGGGAAATTTATGGAATTTGGTTAATATTTTAATAATTTTAAAAACGATGTAAGCTGTACTTTATATATTTATTTGAAGTCTACGATTATAAAATCATATTGAATATATTTAGTTTACTTTTGGATACAAGAAAAATCATACATTAATATTTAAAAAAAAATAGTTTTTTCATATATTAAGCCGTAAATTTACTGTTAAAATGGAGTTTAAACACTTGCAGCGATGAATTTGTTTGGTTTGATTACGTTTATTCATACCTCAGCGTGAGTTACTGGATCTACAAGCACACTGGTTCTTGTCAGTTCACTGAAATTAAATCCGAGTTGGCTGTGGAGTTTGTCGATTACTGAATTGGTTAGTGTATCAGTGAGATTACTCAAAATTGGTAGTAAATTCACTGTCGTCCCCTCTTGCAAGTCTATCAGGTCTTTTTCGTCGGTCATATCAAGATGTGCTGTTTGCCCTGGGGTTCTTTCTACGTAACAATTGGCTGCCATGTAAATCACCAATCTAGAGTCGACATTTGAAAGCTTAATGTCGATAACATCGAGTTGATAGTTTAGGTTAGTTATTCCGAATAATGTAATTCCCAATAAAGTTCGTCCTAACACGCCTATTTCCGAAATCCTCGTATGGAAGCTTGCTAACATGTCGATAATAGGTTTTACCGGATCGGAGTTGCACAAGGGACAAGAGTGACAAGGGCTGCCGACATGCGCGTTATCATCCTATTGTCGGTACCTTGCAATTTCGACATGATCAATTTAACGCACTCGATCATCGTGTTACAGCAAGAATACAATTTTTTGTTGATCATGGTGCATTATTTGTAAACATTTGTGCACAATTTTCAACATAACATACTATGTTCGTATTTCTATAAAAAAAAACCCCTACTATAGTCAAAAATAAAAATAAAAGGAATGTATTGTACGAAGAATCTACTTTTTACAGCAAGAATACAATTTTCTGTTGATAATGGTACATTATTTGTAACGGACGAATGAGCCTTGGTTAACAGAAAACAACCCCGCCGAGGATGGGAAAACGATTTCTTTAATTTGTTAGCACAGTAGCAATACCACTTTTTAGATATAATTTTTAGCTTCGATTCAGAGTGGCAAAGGTATTGGTTTTACTCTGATGTAGGCTTTTTTTTATCTGTATACACTGTAACTTTTTTTATACTGGACTAATTCCTTCGGTAAAAGTTGAAAAAGTTTACTTTTTCACAATCGAAATTTGAAAAAAAAACCGTAAGAGTTTTTAAGTTAGAACTTTTACTGGCTATAATTTCGAGAAAAAGAGTCGGATTGAGTTGAAATTTATTAGGAATATATATTTGGTATGCCCGCACACGTCAGTTGTATCAAATTTAAATTATACCCATTTCTCACCCTCCTAGGGGGGTACAAGTTTTTTTGAGGGTTTTTAGCCGTAAATTTTAAGACCTTTAAGTTGAAAATTTGCCAGTAGTTAGAACTCATATGTATCCATAACATATTAAACGGAAAAAAAATTCGGCACTACAGTTTTTCTTTAATTTCCGGAAAACTGTGTTTTCGCATATTGCGTACATTTTAACAAAAAACCCTAAAATCTCAAAAAAAAAATGTATCAAATCATTAAAACAATTTTATTAATGTCTATGCTGAATAATACTATTAAGTTTTGTGCTCCAGTACCACTTTTGACACTTTTTCACAATAACTTTTGCGATATAAAAATTATGAACAACAACTGTAGGTATCATACATTAATAAGTTTTAGCATTATACATTACAAAAATATAATATATTTTTTTTCGTAAACATGTTGGTTTTAAATGTATTTTGTTACGTTTTTTGTGTACTTAAATGTCTGAACTATTTATTTTCTTTAATTGTAGAACCATGTATTGATGTATCACAGTAAAACACTTGTGAAAATACAAAACTTAAATATTACAGCTCCTAATTAAAAAAAAATATATAATTTAGGTTTTGTACATTATTGGATATCTTATTCTCTAGTTAATACATTTTTTCATTATTGTGTTTAACATAATGATTAAGTTTGAAACAACATAATTAAACATAATTTAAGTTTGAAAGAACACTTGTGTTTGAAAGACACTTTTTCACAATGTATAAATATAATAAATAAGTATAAATATCATATATATTAAACAATAAAGTGTTTAGTTTAGTTTGCTCTTATTAAAAGTTCCTAGTTTCATAATATTTTATTGAAGGAAATTTAGGCATTTATTTTTTTATTAGTTTATTACCAAATTTTATGTTTTTTTTTTGTGAATTATTTATTATTATTGTCTATTATTTAATTATTTATTATTGTTGTCGAGTTATTTTTATCATAATATTGTTGTGCCAAAGGGGCATTTATTTATTTATTATTGAACTGAAATTAAAACTATCGTTGAAAATAGTAATATAATTAATTATTTAATTGAGTCAGCAATTTGTTTT